AGAACCTTCAGTAGGTCATCAGGATTCACCAAGTTCTCGCGTCTCAAATTTCGAAACCTGTTCATCTTTACTTGATCACGTGAGCTTGGTATGTTTAGTAAGCCGTGTATAAGGTTGGGACCTCCCAAAACGTTACGACGTTGTCTGGCATAATAACGTTCGTCCCAAACTGTTCAATAAATACAAACTCGGTTGCCATAATTGAGTGAAGATCCACAGGTGTTCTGGGTGTGGGCACGTTACGGAACCTGTGCATCCCTACCAAGATCCACAGGTGTTCTGGGTGTGGGCACGTTACGGAACCTGTGCATCCCTACCAAGATCCACAGGTGTTCTGGGTGTGGGCACGTTACGGAACCTGTGCATCCCTACCAAGATCCACAGGTGTTCTGGGTGTGGGCACGTTACGGAACCTGTGCATCCCTACCAAGATCCACAGGTGTTCTGGGTGTGGGCACGTTACGGAACCTGTGCATCCCTACCAAGATCCACAGGTGTTCTGGGTGTGGGCACGTTACGGAACCTGTGCATCCCTACCAAGATCCACAGGTTTGGGCTTGATAAATCCAGGCGCAGCTGGTGGCCGACATCCGGACATCTCTTGGCTAATTGGTGGGCGGCCGGCGCCTGCGTTATCGTCGCCCGTCCAGCCAAAACGCTTCAGTCACACATCGTAAAATGATAGGATTGTGGCAGCCGCATTAACGAGCCACGCTAGTGTGTTGACACACCGGAGAGTGGCACTCACTGGTCCTGGAGAGCCGTACAGTGCCCACTCGCCTCTTATCTTATCGTACTTGAGAGCCTCTCAGGGCGGACATCGTCCCACACCGACACTTTTCCTCCAGAACATCACTCCAGTGATGTCACAGCTCTCGAAGGACACCCCCCTCCCCCCCCCAGGTATATCATATATACATTATATGCTTCCTCGTTGAGTATATACGGTAAGTTGGTGATGGGGATAGATTGTTTGGTGATGGGGATAGATTGTTTGTGATGGGGATAGATTGGTGATGGGGGATAGATTGTTTGGTGATGGGGATAGATTGTTTGTGATGGGGATAGATTGTTTGGTGATGGGGATAGATTGTTTGGTGATGGGGGATAGATTGTTTGGTGATGGGGGATAGATTGTTTGGTGATGGGGGATAGATTGTTTGGTGATGGGGATAGATTGGTGATGGGGGATAGATTGTTCGGTGATGGGGATAGATTGTTTGGTGATGGGGATAGATTGTTTGGTGATGGGGATAGATTGTTTGGTGATGGGGGATAGATTGTTTGGTGATGGGGGATAGATTGTTTGGTGATGGGGATAGATTGTTTGGTGATTGGGGGATAGATTGTTTGGTGATTGGGGGATAGATTGTTTGGTGATTGGGGATAGATTGTTTGGTGATTGGGGGATAGATTGTTTGGTGATTGGGGGATAGATTGTTTGGTGATTGGGGGATAGATTGTTTGGTGATGGGGATAGATTGGTGATGGGGGATAGATTGTTTGGTGATGGTGATGGGGGATAGATTGTTTGGTGATTGGGGGATAGATTGTTTGGTGATGGGGATAGATTGTTGGGTGATGGGGATAGATTGTTTGGTGATGGGGATAGATTGTTTGGTGATGGGGATAGATTGTTTGGTGATGGGGATAGATTGTTTGGTGATTGGGGGATAGATTGTTTGTGACGGGGATAGATTGTTTGTGATGGGGATAGATTGTTTGGTGATGGGGATAGATTGTTTGGTGATGGGGATAGGTTGGAGATGAGTGTGGATAGTTTACGAGGGCCCTGGTGAGGATAGCCGTCCCAACCTTGTAGCGAATGGCTCATATCAACGGCCGGTGATGGGGGGGGGGGTCACCCAAGGTTGTGGGGGGGGGGCGGGGTGGAACATTGGGAACAGGGGGTGCGGGGGGGGGGGGGTGCGGGGGTGGGGGGGGGGTGCGGGGGTGGGGGGGGGTGCGGGGGGTGGGGGTGATTGGTGGGTGGACTTAGGGTGGGGGGGAGGGGGGGGGGGAGGGGGAGGGGGTGGTGGCCGCAGTATCGATTATGGCCAAGTAGAGTCCAAATTACTTCTAGGAATAGCCAGGATCGTGAACGAGGTGGCTGGTCTTGCCCACCCTCTTGCCCACCTCCTTCACGCTGTCGTCTAGCCCACCCTCTTGCCCACCTCCTTTACGCTGTCGTCTAGCCCACCCTCTTGCCCACCTCCTTCACGCTGTCGTCTAGCCCACCCTCTTGCCCACCTCCTTCACGCTGTCGTCTAGCCCACCCTCTTGCCCACCTCCTTCACGCTGTCGTCTAGCCCACCCTCTTGCCCACCTCCTTCACGCTCTCGTCTAGCCCACCCTCTTGCCCACCCTCTTGCCCACCACCTTCACCCTGTCGTCTAGCCCACCCTCTTGCCCACCCTCTTTCACCCTTGCTGTCATCTAGCCCACCCTCTTGCCCACCCTCTTGCCCACCACCTTCACGCTGTCGTCTAGCCCACCCTCTTGCCCACCTCCTTCACGCTGTCGTCTAGCCCACCCTCTTGCCACCTCCTTCACCCTGTCGTCTAGCCCACCCTCTTGCCCACCCTCTTGCCCACCACCTTCACCCTGTCGTCTAGCCCACCCTCTTGCCCACCTCCTTCACGCTGTCGTCTAGCCCACCCTCTTGCCCTCCTCCTTCACCCTGTCGTCTAGCCCACCCTCTTGACCACCACCTTCACGCTGTCGTCTAGCCCACCCTCTTGCCCACCTTCACGCTGTCGTCTAGCCCACCCTCTTGCCCACCTCCTTCACGCTGTCGTCTAGCCCACCCTCTTGCCCACCTCCTCCACGCTGTCGTCTAGCCCACCCTCTTGCCCACCTCCTTCACGCTGTCGTCTAGCCCACCCTCTTGCCTACCCTCTTGACCACCACCTTCACGCTGTCGTCTAGCCCACCCTCTTGCCCACCTCCTTCACGCTGTCGTCTAGCCCACCCTCTTGCCCACCTCCTTCACGCTGTCGTCTAGCCCACCCTCTTGCCCACCTTCACCCTGTCGTCTAGCCCACCCTCTTCACCCTGTCGTCTAGCCCATCCTCTTGCCGCCCTCCTTCACCCTGTCGTCTAGCCCACCCTCTTGCCCACCACCTTCACCCTGTCGTCTAGCCCACCCTCTTGCCCACCCTCTTGACCACCTCCTTCACGCTGTCGTCTAGCCCACCCTCTTGCCCACCTCCTTCACGCTGTCGTCTAGCCCACCCTCTTGCCCACCTTCACGCTGTCGTCTAGCCCACCCTCTTGCCCTCCTCCTTCACCCTGTCGTCTAGCCCACCCTCTTGCCCACCCTCTTGACCACCTCCTTCACGCTGTCGTCTAGCCCACCCTCTTGCCCACCACCCTCACGCTGTCGTCTAGCCCACCCTCTCGCCCACCTTCACCCTGTCGTCTAGCCCACCCTCTTGCCCACCACCCTCACGCTGTCGTCTAGCCCACCCTCTCGCCCACCTCCTTCACCCTGTCGTCTAGCCCACCCTCTTGCCCACCACCTTCACCCTGTCGTCTAGCCCACCCTCTTGCCCACCACCTTCACCCTGTCGTCTAGCCCACCCTCTTGCCCACCACCTTCACCCTGTCGTCTAGCCCACCCTCTTGCCCACCACCTTCACCCTGTCGTCTAGCCCACCTCTTGCCCACCACCTTCACGCTGTCGTCTAGCCCACCCTCTTGCCCACCACCTTCACGCTGTCGTCTAGCCCACCCTCTTGCCCACCACCTTCACGCTGTCGTCTAGCCCACCCTCTTGCCCAGCACCTTCACGCTGTCGTCTAGCCCACCCTCTTGCCCAGCACCTTCACGCTGTCGTCTAGCTCACCCTCTTGCCCACCACCCTCACGCTGTCGTCTAGCCCACCCTCTTGCCCACCTCCTTCACGCTGTCATAAGAACATAGGTAACTGCAGAAGGCCTATTGGCCCATACGAGGCAGCTCCTATCTATAACCACCCAATCCCACTCATATACATGTCCAACCCGCGCTTGAAACAATCGAGGGACCCCACCTACACCACGGTACGCGGTAATTGGTTCCACAAATCAACAACCCTGTTACTGAACCAGTATTTACCCAAGTCTTTCCTAAATCTAAACTTATCCAATTTATACCCATTGTTTCGTGTTCTGTCTTGTGTTGATACTTTTAATACCCTATTAATATCCCCTTTGTTATGTCCATTCATTCACTTGTAAACCTCTATCAAGTCACCCTCAATTCTTCGCCTTCCTAGAGAATGTAATTTAAGCTTTGTCAATCTTTTTTCATATGTTAGGTTTCTAATTTGGGAGATTAACTTTGTTATGCTACGCTGGACACCTTCAAGTGAATTTATATCCATTCTATAGTACGGCGACCAAAACTGAACTGCATAATCTAAATGGGACCTAACCAGAGCAAGATATAGCTTGAGAACCACACCAGGTGTCTTGTTACTAACGCTTCGATTAATAAATCCAAGTGTCCCATTTGCCTTATTACGAATATTTATGCATTGATTTTTTGGTTTTAAATTCTTACTAATCATAATTCCCAGATCCTTTTCGCAATCCGACTTCACAATGTCAACTCTATCTAGCTCGTATCTAGTAGCTCTAACCTCACACCTCGCCTCACAACCTTACATGTGTCAGCATTAAACTGCATCTTCTGCAGTGTAATGCTGCAGGAGTCGTCTACCTCAGCCTCTCATCACCACTTCTCTCGTACATTAACCTCAGTGGTAGTGACACTGCCGCAGCTGCCCACCGGCTAGTCACTCCTGGCCGAGTCTAAGCCCTTCCTCTCTCCATCTCTCCTATCCACTGCCTGTCCCAACCCTCACTCATCTTTTATTCCTTAATGTTACACACCCTTTAGCTCGCTCTTCCCGTCCTAAGGCTCTAATTTCTACTTTGGCGCCATACTATTTACCTTGCCCATACCTGGCCCTTGCCCATACCTGGCCCTTGCCCATACCTGGCCCTTGCCCATACCTGGCCCCATGCCCATACCTGGCCCCATGCCCATACCTGGCCCCATGCCCATACCTGGCCCCATGCCCATACCTGGCCCCATGCCCATACCTGGCCCCATGCCCATACCTGGCCCCATGCCCATACCTGGCCCCATGCCCATACCTGGCCCCATGCCCATACCTGGCCCCATGCCCATACCTGGCCCCATGCCCATACCTGGCCCCATGCCCATACCTGGCCCCATGCCCGTACCTGGCCCCATGCCCCTCACCAGTCCCTCATAACACTACCTACTTCTCATCTCCCAAAATGATCGCCTCAGACCTACCCTAGCGTGCCCAAGACCCAACATGGGCCCCCCCCCCAGCCGTCGGGTTCTTATCAACTGGGTGCCAAGTCATGTGGGAATAATAGGAAATGACATTGCAGACGAAGCTGCAAAACTTGCAACTAAGAGAAGAAATATAGACATTTACATACCACAGAGTCTATCACAGATTAAGAAAGTAATAGAAACAGAGCAATGCAAAAGATGTGCAGTCCGCAAGACATGTGATCCACAGTCCAGCGCATATACCTGGTGTTAGATAATGTTCCAGTGGTCTGTTGTGGCTGTAACTGTGCACTGTGTTAGATAATGTTCCAGTGGTCTGTTGTGGCTGTAACTGTGCACTGTGTTAGATAATGTTCCAGTGGTCTGTCGGGCATTTCTCCACAGTGCTGACATTTCCTCTCATCTTCCGGAACCTGTAAGCCTATTTCCCATGCACATGGGTATCCAAGCCTGATGCGATGTAAGTGTACTTCTGTTGTTCTACTGCTCCCTTTCATCAACATAAGTGGTTCGTAGTTGGTTGATGTCTTGTACCAACCCGCAGATCCTGATGTTGCAACTGCTGTGTTGTGGTCACTGTGTTCACCTAGTTGTGCTTGCGGGGGTTGAGCTCTGCTCTTTCGGGCCGCCTCTCAACTGTCAATCAACTGTTTCTAACTACTGCTACTATTGTTTTTTCACACAACACACACACACACACACACTAGGAAGCAGCCCATGACAGCTAACTCCCAGGTACCTATTTACTGCTAGGTAACAGGGGCATTCAGGGTGAAAGAAACTTTTGCCCATTTGTTTCTGCCTCGTGCGGGAATCGAACCCGCGCCACAGAATTACGAATCCTGCGCGCTATCCACCAGGCTACGAGGCCCCGCCTCGTAGCCTGGCCTGTGTGTGTGTACTCACCTAGTTGTACTCACCTAGTTGTGCTTGCGGGGGTTCAGCTCTGGCTCTTTGGTCCCGCCTCTCAACTGTCAATCAACAGGTGTACAGGTTCCTGAGCCTATTGGGCTCTATCATATCTACACTTGAAACTGTGTATGGAGTCAGCCTCCACCACATCACTTCCTAATGCATTCCATTTGTCAACCACTCTGACACTAAAAAAGTTCTTTCTAATATCTCTGTGGCTCATTTGGGCACTCAGTTTCCACCTATGTCCCCAAGTGCGTGTGCCCCTTGTGTTAAACAGCCTGTCTTTATCAACCCTGTCAATTCCCTTGAGGATCTTGAATGTGGTGATCATGTCCCCCCTAACTCTTCTGTCTTCCAACGAAGTGAGGTTTAATTCCCGTAGTCTCTCCTCGTAGCTCATACCTCTCAGCTCGGGTACAAGTCTGGTGGCAAACCTTTGAACCTTTTCCATTTTAGTTTTATGCTTGACTAGATATGGACTCCATGCTGGTGCCGCATACTCCGGGATTGGTCTGACATATGTGGTATATAATGTTCTGAAAGATTCCTTACACAAGTTTCTAAAGGCCGTTCTTATGTTAGCCAACCTGGCATATGCCGCTGATGTTATCCTCTTGATATGAGCATCAGGGGACAGGTCTGGCGTGATATCAACCCCCAGGTCTTTCTCTCTCTCGGACTCTTGAAGTATTTCATCTCCCAAGTGATACCTTGTATCTGGTCTCCTGCTTCCTACCCCTATCTTCATTACATTACATTTGCTTGGATTAAACTCTAACAGCCATTTGTTCGACCATTCCTGCAGCTTGTCCAGGTCTTCTTGAAGCCTCAAGCTGTCCTCCTCTGTCTTAAGCCGACTGTGTGTGTGCGTGCGTGCGTGCGTGCGTGAATAAGAGTGTGTGTGTCCGAGGACGGAGGACAGCTGGGCAGCTTCCCAGTTTCACTAGTGATAGTGTGGACTGGCATAGTGGGGTGAGAGTGGGCCAAAATGGGTCCCCATGATGGGAGGTATACCTCTCCCCCCCCCCTACACACACATGGGAATATGTGGAATGTGACACAAAGTCCATAGAGTTTAACAATCGTGTATATATATGAGTGTATTGAGGATTATAATTCTTGGTGCTCCAAGATGTACACGAATCATCAACATGAGGGAAGAACTGAAGCTTCCAACCATACTAGAGAGAATAATGCAAGTTAACACTACCTTTTGTCTTAAAGTCATGAGAGACCCTACATCTCCTGCATTACTCAGAGACAAATTATTTAGTGCTGTTAACACCCTATTGACTGGTGCCGACATACCAACTCACTCCTTTTATGATAATTGGCTGAGCAACAATCTCATTAAACTTAACATTCCTTTTAAGTGCAATCTACCTGTCTCTGATATTCCTCTTTATCTGTACCCCACCATTCAAGTATCATACACACCTGTCACCAAGAAAGATAATGAGAATCTTGCTCTTCCTCAAAGCTGTCACTCTTGAAACAATTGCCTCCTCCAATGAGAGTTTAAGATCTCACGAGCACTGTGTCTACACCGACGGCTCAGTCCAATCCTCTACTGGACGGACTGCAGCAGCATGTAGGTTTTATAGAAATAATATTTGCACAAAGACTGTCAGTGTCAGGTTAAACAACTGGCTGACCTCCACACAAGCAGAACTAGCAGCATTACACCTAGCTACCAGTACATTAAAAAACATTGGAGGAGGAATAATATTCTGTGATTCAAAGTCTGCTCTTCAAGCAATCGAAAACTTCTCTTGGAAGATCGACAGCAAGAACCTCATACTACCAATTATAAATGACCTAATTGCTGCACAGAGTAAAGGGTCTCGAATCTCCTTTGTATGGATACCTTCACACAAATATAACCCATCATAATGAGACAGACATTGCAGCCAAATTAGCGTGTAACAAGTTTGAAGTTGAATTTGATCTAGGTATCCCCATCTCTGCTGTCAAAACTGTATTGGTCCAAACACTCAGATCTGATAGGAAAGAAATTACTGACTCCCAACGACCTGAAAGTACTAGTATAAAAAGTTATGATTTGTTCAGATTTGAAACCTATATCTATGGACAGCACAAAACGTCCACTAGACTGTGCGACACAGTGGTTGCAAGGATCAGGTTGGGTTACCGTTACCTGTGGCAGGTGGCTGCAGGTGACGGGTCTCCCAATCCTGAGCACTCCAGTTGCAAACTCTGTGAGCAGGAACTACGGCACGATCTCCCACACTACAACCATGAATGCCCAGTTATTAGACCTTTCAGACCAGTTGGCATGAGGTACCTGGAGCTTTGCAATTACTTTATTCACTCTCGTATTCTTGAAGATATCCTCACAGTGTACCCAAAATTTGCCAGTGCAGGCTATTAAACACATGGCTCTGTATGACTAACCATCCTGCGAGATGGGGACTTGTATTACCACTGCTACCTTATTCACTCTTGTGTTGTTGATATCCTCAAAATGCATCCGGAGTCTGCCAGTGCAGACCGCTTATCACATGCCTCTGTATGACTAACCATCCTGTGTGATGGGCATTGTTTAGCATCACCTAGTTAGCTTTTTTGACACACTGTACTCCACTTCATATAGTCTAGGGCAGCTGCACTAATGCAGATGTACCTCATAACTTAATAAAAAAAAATTGAGATACTAATATTCAAATCGAAAGTTCAGGGGAAATTTTTTGGGTTGAAGGGGAAGGTTTGGGTGAGAGTGATGAAGAAGTTTAGGGAAAAGTGTGATGTGTTAGTTTGTACAGTGAGGTGGCAAGATGTGTGAGGGGGATGTGAGGGGTGGGCGTGTATGTATACATGCATGTATACTTGTATACAATGTAATGTATAAGCAGTATAGGTACCGAGGTGGCGGGGGCCTCACATAACCCAATAATTACACACCGTCACGCAACACATTAATACTCCAGAAAAACATTCTATAAAATACTCAGTGACAAGTATCGATTGTGAGGCAATTCCCGGTAGGCGCCAGCACCGGCGACTACCGGTCTCCTTGGCGGCGGCTGGCGGCGGCGGCGCTGCTGGCGGCTGCTGGCGGCTGCTGGCGGCGGCGGCTGCTGGCGGCGGCTGGCGGCTGCTGGCGGCGGCGGCTGCTGGCGGCGGCTGCTGGCGGCGGCTGGCGGCTGCTGCTGGCGGCGGCTGGCGGCTGTTGGCGGCTGCTGGCGGCTGCTGGCGGCGGCTGCTGGCGGCGTCGTTAAGGCAGGTACTCGCGCACGCTGGCACTTGCCAAGGCGGCAGTTTGTCATTTGTTATAAGTGATGATCGTTTCTAATCTTTAACATTAATTGTTCACTCGACGTTTAACAGCGCGGAACACCTGTGTCATCCATATAAAGTAATCTGTCCAAACTAGGAGGCCAGACGCTAGGGGCTAGCCTCTCCCAACTTAACAAGATGATGAGTGTGGGGTATGGGAGAGTCATAGGTTAGTTAAGATAAGCGCCAATGACGCCCTTTCAGGAAATATCGGCATCTATAGCGATTTCTTGCGATTTTTCATGGCCTGAAATCGTAATGTGTTTTACGTAGAATTTAAAAGTTTTTAAGCGCTTAGTATTAATAAATTTTCTGACAGAAGTAAACAGGGAGGAGAGTGGGAGAGAAGGGTGATTGTGGAAGAGAGGGAAGGAGACCCGGGAGCAGCCGGACTACCTTATCATGTGGCTACATATATTATTCACGTTCTTTGTGACATGATTATAATCGTTATTCATTGCTTTTTGAGACATTTAAAACTTTACGGTCTCTGACACAGCTACAAGTGTTACTTGCGGTCTCTGAGGCAGCTACAAGTGTTACTTGCGGTCTCTGAGGCAGCTACAAGTGTTACTTGCGGTCTCTGAGGCAGCTACAAGTGTTACTTGCGGTCTCTGAGGCAGCTACAAGTGTTACTTGCGGTCTCTGAGGCAGCTACAAGTGTTACTTGCGGTCTCTGACGCAGCTACAAGTGTTAC